TTCTGGTTTGCCGCGCACATTTTTTTTTTTTACTTAATTTGGTTACCATTCTTATAGACAAAAAGGAACTGTTTATCTTTCTCTGCTTCTAAAAAGTGCTTGTCATATGACTCTGGTTGCCCAGAAAACAGGAAATCTGCATAAACCAATAAATCATTGTCAGACAATGGGACAATAGGATACAGATTCCTTATCATTTTTCAGAGATCACTGTTATTAAACTCCACATTAAATATTCTCTGGATTCTCATACTTTCTCGCTTATGAAAAGGGGGCTGAGATGACTGAAAGACATTATTTTACATTTAACTAAATATGAAATGCTAGGCAAGAGAGGGGAGCATGGATCTGAAGATTTTTGAGTTGAGAAACGAGTAGATGCTGTCGTCTATCCACCAGCAGAGAAGACAGGACCAGAACAGGCTGGCAGACATTTTGTTGCCTCAGACACACCAAGTCTGATTTTCGATGGGACACCCAGAGGAAGAACTCCAATCAACAGTTAAAGACGTTTGCTGTAAGCTGAAGAAAGAGTTCTGGGTTGTGGAGGGAGTAACGAAGGCATTTTATGACTGATAGTGCTTATTTTCAGAATAACAACAAATAAGCAAAATTATAAGTCATGAAAAATATTTCAAAAGATTAAGGAAGCTTGGAAATTTTGACATAGTTGATCTAGAGTTCATATCCAGAGTATATTTTAGATAATATAAACCAGGTTCAAAAAACCAGAAGCAGCATGAAGTGCAGATTTGAAATCTGCTGTGGTTGTATTTCACGTATTTATGAAATTCCTTTCAGATTAAGCTCAGGGTTCAAATTGTAGGGGGTGAACTATGAGTTCACCATATTCAAAGCACAGTGGAATATTCGGAAGTCACTTGTAGAAAAATTAAGGTTTAAAATGAGGGAAAGACTGCAAAGAGAATAGTCCCAAAGGGTGAAAATAAGAGCAGGAGTTTGTCAATGGGCTGCGAGAGAGGTGAAGAGTAAGGTGCAGTGGGGTATACGAGGTCAGGAGAAATTGGGAAGGATGGGGCCCCAGGGATATCTTCAGCAATTAAAAATGCAACATATACATAGCAGAAGTTGCTATCTTATATTTAAACACCATGTATTAAGAGACAGTTATACAGCAACAAAGTGTTTCACAAAAACAAATCATCCATGTCATCAAATTTAGATCAATCATTATCTATGGTAACTAAGATGCACGTGACCCAAGCTACATGCATGTGAAAGTTGGAAGACCAAAGGAGAATTAATGCATTTGAACTGTGGTGCTGGAGAAGAATGTTCAAAGTCCCACGGACTGCTCACAGGACAGAGCAATCTGTCTTGGAAGAAGAACAGCCAGAAGGCTGCTCAGAGGCAAGGATGAGGCAACTAACTGTGTCTCACATCCTTTGGGTAGACTGTCGGGAGAGACCAGTCCCCAGGGAAGGACATCATGCTGGTAAAGTGAAGGGGAAGCAAAAAGTAAAAAAGAAGGCCTTCAAGGCGATGGGTTGACAGAGTTGCTGCAACAGGGGCCTCAGGCATGGGGACGTTTGTAAGGGTGACACGGGACCGTGCACTGCTTCCGTCTGTTGTTCACGGGGTTGCTTTGGGTCACAATCAACTTGACGTCACTGAACAATAACAACCCAGCTTTATGTATGCAAACACTGAATGCGTAAGCACACTCATACAACCTACAGCCTTTTTACACAATATATGCTTTGTAATATTTTAATGCGATGCATATTGAACATGTTATTTTTATCATGTTTGATTGTAATTTATTAGCTGGAGTAAAGTTTTCCTCTTTTAATAGAATTGCCTTTTATTGAGAAACCTTATTGTTCTGTAAATATGCAAAATGAAGTAAGTTATGCTAGTTCAACTGATAGCTTGGAAATCAAAATTATAAACTCCGGTGCATTAATAAGTAAATCAGATTTTAGCAATTTTTCTCCTTGAGTATTTTTTAAATTGTGATTTTTTTTTGTTGACCATGCACACATCCAACATACTAAAACTAACTAAGCCCACTGCCTGTGAATCTATTCCATCCCACAGTGATATTTGGGAAAAATAAATTATTGCAATAGAAGATTCTAGGAACTGATAGACTATTATTTATCTGAGTGAAGGCCTCTCAGTCCTTGAAAATCATATTGTTATATAGAGTCCCTCAATTCACAGAAAGAGAAAAACATTACAAGTAAGGCTGAGAAGAATATATGGTTAGAAATCATTCTGGGAAGGACACAGTGTGCTTATACTTTAACATGCGGAGGCTGAGCTTTGAAAGGAAGTATAGTTTAATTTACTATTGCAGTTTGAGGGTCACATCGCCCATTTTGCAATTCTTTCAAATTGGTCTCTGCAAAATACGCAATTCTCTCAAATAAAGGACAATCTTTTCGTCCTTATCTGTTGTTGATTTTTCCATTTTGAAACCCAATTTAATTTTTATTCCTAGTAAATTTGGCATTTCCTATTTATTTGCCATTATAATCTATTCAACAGAAGGGAAGTTTGAGATTTAAATTCCTCGCAAAACCATGTAAGTAAGTAGACAGGCTCTCTTTCTTCTAGATGTAGCTCTGTTACTGAAAGAGTTGATGAACCAAAACACTATCCCCTTCCTCTTTCTCAGAACCCAAAGGTAGCATGACTTCACCTTCCTCTAGTTCCTAAAGGTTTCCTCCCCGCTCCCACTACCATGACTCGAATTCTATCTTGCAAGACTGGCTAGACCAGAGGAGGTACACTGGTACAGATAGGAACTGAAAATACAGGGAATCCAGGATGGATGAGCCCTATAGGACCAGTGGTGTGAGTGGCAAAACAGGGAGGGTAAAGGGAGAATGGGTAGGGAAGAGGGAACCGATTACATGGAACTGTGTGTGACCTCCTCCCTGGGGGACAGACAACCGAAAAGTGGATGAAGGGAGACGTCGGACAGGGCAAGATATGACAAAATACCAATTTATAAACTATCAAGGGCTCATGTGGGAGGGGGGAGCGGGGAGGGAGGGGAAAAATGAGGACCTAATGTCGGGGGTTTAAATGGAGAGAAAATGTTTTGAGAAATGATGTACAAATACGCTTTACACAATTGATGTGTGTATGGATTGGGATAACAGTTGTATGAGCCCCTAATAAAATGTTTAAAAAAAAAAAATGAGAGTCGGGACAATCATCCTATTAAGTTTAGGCTATGTGTAATCGATTTATACTATGAAGTAGAGAAAACAGACGATGAATTTCTACATAAAAGAAAGGAATATCCTATTTTTAAGTGTTCGGCCTGCACATTATTAAGTCCTTATACCACACTTCACAGACAGACCAATTGGAACACAGTTCAATAGTACACACAGGCCTCTTAATCCCTGGTAAAGGTGATTATTTTAAGAACCACAAAGGAAGAAAAAAGAGTAAAGTACTAGGATCAAGGACCCAAGGAGACGTCAATAGATGTCACTATCTAGTGCACATATGAAACCAAACTGGAAACGTTGGTAACAATGTAAAAAAAAAAAGATCTTTTATTCACTAATATTTTTGCTCCTAAATAATTATTTTAGTAAATATATTTGTTTAACCTGTGATTGGTTCATCAATACTTTTGTATTGTCTTAGTTTTATCAAGTATTGATAAATGTTGCCCAGAGAAACAAAAGCTTTTGGTCTTAAATAATGTTTACGGGTCTAAAAAGTTGTTCAACTCAGAGATGGAGAAACGCTGTTGCAGGCTGTGTTTCTCTGCTGCAAGCTGGGTTGCTGTTTGATCCCCGAGGCCACTCACAGGCGCATGGAACACAGGACCAAAGAGAGGGCATTTGGCCTGCTGCTTGCTTGCTCTTCTGGTAAACTCTCTCCAACATTGCATTGCTGCAGTGAATGGTTCCAATAGCAATAAGCTTTAGGCAACAGTGTATACCAACCTGGGAGTACCACTTCTAGAGGGTTCCTCGTTACATAGAGTGATGTTTCCTACACATGCTCTGAGTTCCAGTGGCACAGCTCCCCGCTTGACGTCCTGTGTCACCCAAAGCAGACAAGAAGCACGCCCTCCACGGGAGTCCGAGCCAGAACTTGCCAGGCAGCCTTTGGAAACTCGGAAGTTCGCATCTTAGCCCCCTTCCTTTCTCGACTTCTGGGTTTGTATTATTCCAAACTGTGGTTAGGATAGGCTTCTTGCCTTCCAGCTCTGCTTTCTGTAATGCATTCTCTTTGCTTTTCCCAATTTTTAAAGATCATTTTCTAATTTACTATTCTGCCTGTCTAGACACACCCCTGAAGAGGGATAGCGTCGCAAACCTGCAGAAGCAGCTTGCCCCTGTCCTCTCGGGTCAGTATGAGTCCGGCTGGACCCCAGGGCAGCAGGCTGGTTCTGTTTTCCTTTTTCGGGGAGTAATATTGTAATATTTTGGAGTGCAATACTGTTCATTTTCTACTTCTCTGACCAGACACAGATTGATACCATGATCAACAGAGATTACTGCATTGTCTCTAAAGCTTCTCACTCATTATGAAAAGCTAACAACTTTATGATGACAAAAATTTAAAGTAGTGAACAGAAAAATCAAGTCTGACCTAAGCTGACAAATCTAAACATGAAATCCTTTAATTAGCATACTTGATATTAATGATTATACATTCTATATGCAATTATTTGGGGATGACATGGTGATTCATCCTACTTTGCATATTTATTCAGTCATTTCCATCCTTGAGAAAACATTTCTTAAAATTGCTACCCAAATAAAGACTTACAAGAGACTAGCTGACACGTAATGGGCAGAAATTAAATATATTTTTCCATGAATGCCACCTATTATTACAGCAGAGCTATTTTAAAGGATCTACACATTCTTAGTGAGAGAGGATAACTCATGAACAACGTCGGTTTTTAAGCAAATTTTGTCTTATCAGGAACCTGATAGCTCTTCGTCATCAGCGGTTCACAGCAGACCGTTTCTTCAAGGGCAATGAAGCAGACTCACCAGCAGCCAGGAGAGCTGGCTTACTCTTCACCAGCGGACTCGAGCGCGGGAACTTGTTGCTAAAGGACATGAACAGGTGTGCAGTGAAATCATGAGGAAGCTCGGCTTCCAGGAAGGTCTTCATGAATAACTTGAAACCTTCAAAGTCGATGGTCTGAAATAAACAACAACAAATAATTTAAAATGTCGAATTAGCATGCAGCCAAGTGATTCTGTTTTATGCTCCAAGTCACTATTGATGTAAATAATGGCCAAAAAATCTATAGCCAAGTCTCCAGAAATCAGTTGACTGTTTGATTGAAAAGGAAGTTTAGCTGTCGTAGGCTCACCATGGCAATTGGCTATCTATGCCTTACCTGCACCTATTTATATATGTCCACTTTCATAGTGTTTATAATACCTTAAACATTGTATTCTTTGACATTGTAACCCCTTCACTGTAAATTTGAGATACTATCTCCAATCTCACAGATTCTAAGGAGTAAACAGCTAATTAATATGAGCATGCCAATGTAGTCGAGAACACAGCAAGCACTTAGAAAGAAGGAATGTCCCATGCCCTCCTTAGTGGTGACCATGCTATTTGAGAATTGGTAAAGAGTAGTTGAAATTAAAGTTTCAAACAAGCACCAAAATAAACATTAAAATTCCACAGTGAGGTGCCAAAATTCAAACAGATTTCCAAAGAGATCTATTTCAATAACTGCCATATCCTCACTCACTGCAGAATTCTACGAGTAGGTGTTTTTGAGAGCTACTACTTGTCTGCTTTGATGTCTACTTGGGTTTGTGATTGATTCCAGCCTCCCACTTCAACTACATGAGGGTGTTTCATGGTGGCTATTCAGAAAGCTTGCACTGTTCTACCTCCTGAGAACAGCGGACAACCCAGTATTACCTGAACGGACCAGAAAACCTGAGAAGAAGAAAATAGAATAAAATCATAACCTCCCAGAGAGCGCACAGGAAAGAGGCCTTGGGAAACATCCTTAAATAAACTACGAAGGCATTCCATGTCCTGATGCCAGGATAACTAGGAAATGAAATGGATCGATTTACTACTCACTCTTATACGGACTGTTTTAACCCTCATGAGCTATCCCACCAGGGAGAAAAGTATTGTAGAGGAGAATGTATGGGGGACTTCTGCATCTAAATGGGCCTCTAGGGAAAATCTAAGTTCAAGACTTGTATTAATACTTTACATTGGGAATTCTAATGACTGAATTGAGCCTGTTTCTTAATGTGACCTCAAAGATCCTATTATTGCAAAATAAGCAGGAAATCCATGAACGTGTTCAAATTTCAACCAACGATGAGGAAGGAATCCCCCATGAACAAAGTCCAAGAGAGCTAGTGGAGCCGTGTATCACTTATGTTATGTGCCTTCTTTTAAATGTACAACATTTAACTAATGAGGAGATATTGCCCAATGCTGCATAGCTGACTTCAACTTATCCAAAATAATATAAAACTTCATCATCTAAAGAAGCCATCTAGCTGATAGGGTGGGCACTGTTATGAATCCAATGTCTCATAACCCACACCCCCCCCAAAAAAAACCAGATGAAATACAGCTCCTTCACTTAATGCCACCACATAACGGCTTCTGTCAGCTGATAAAATGTCAGCATTTTATGAAACACAGGAAAAACGTTTTTTTCTTGTAATCACGTCCTTCCATTAATCAGCACTGAGCCATAAAATTGCAATTATCCTTGATGAGTCTCAGTGGTAAGTAGTTCATTCTGTGGTGTTGCTGTAAAAACACTGGAAGTCTGGCTATTTCAGAGCTTTATAATTTTTACAGGTATAAACAATATACACCAATCTAGAAGGAACTATTCTACTACCTGAGACATCGTAGAATGTTTCTTGTAATAATTCTGTTAAGTTTGGCTACTACAAATTCATTAAAGTCATTTTAATCCAGTCATATCATTATTTATCTTTGCTGATTTATTTTCATGGCATTTTAATAAAGCTACCCATTTTAAGCTTAAAGATGATTCTATTACAAATTTACTTAGCCTTTGATTATTGGACATTGAATTATACCTGAGAGTCACCTATTACTTAAAAGTCATTACTTGAATTGTTTTCATAAAATAAAAATGTATAATATCACTTCATGGGTTATTATCTCCCACAAGAAAAATAATCGTTAAAAGTGTATATCTCTTTCTTTTTAAACAAATTAGTGGAAATGATGTAATGCAAACGTACTATGTAATAAACCACTATTTATATTCCATCAATACCAAATGCATAAATGTATGTGTACATACACGTATACAAATCTAAAGTCCTATTAGTTAACAGGTCTTTTATGAAGTATGCCAGTTGGATCCAAAGCAGTTTGGAGTCACTCTGCTCTGTGGTTGAATTTTGGCTCTGGTGTGTAAGTAGCTACATGATTTTAGCTAAATTCCTTAAACCCGCTTTCTTCATTTAACCTCTACTTTCAAATGAGGATATGGATAATATCTACCTCATAACCCTATTGCACGGAATACATTTGGTCATGCATATAAAGTTCTTGGTAGTATGCTTGGCTCTTAACAGGCACTAATCCATGCAATAAATATTTTAAATACCAAAGTTTACATTCCAGATATTTTTCATGTAATGTATCATCTATAAATAAAAATACATAAATATACATGTAAAGACTAAAAAGGCCAGTGTTTCTATATAAGGAGAAGTGTAATTGTGTGCACATGTTACATCTCTGTACAAGGAGGTGTCAAAAGTTTCATGGGAAAGTGAAATTAAAAAAAATATTTTCTGTAAAATTTTAAAGCCTCCTCATGTATGCATGTTTTCTACCATGTATTCCAGATATATCTTTACTTATGCCCTTTAGATGTAGATGTGGATTAAAAATATTGAACACATCTTTCTTAGTTGAATATAACTCAGATGAAACAAATAGAGGGGAAAATAAAATTAGATTCAAGTTCAGTTTTCTGAGAGCTGGGGTAAAATTAATTCCATAAACTTATTTTATAAATTAAACATTAATTTTCCCTTTGTACTTTTACTAAGTAGCTTTATAAACAGAGGTGGTGGAAATGACTACTTTTATGATTGTGCTACTTGTGACTAAACCTAAAGTAAAATGTGATATACAAGGAAACCAGCAAAGATTTAAAATGTTATATATTGTAGAGCATAACTCGAATACAATATGCCATATGCTTTTGTATCTAAGACAACCTCAATCCAGTAAAAAACAGAAACCAAAATCTTAAAGTTTGTTTATTAATGGTTATAAGGCTTGGCCTAAACACAATTTCACATTCTGGCAAACCTAATTTAATCTGTTTTTGATTGTTGAGTATGTTCTTTATCAGAAAATTACTTTATAAAGTGTGTGACCAGCTAAAAGACTTGTTTTCTTTCATAGTTAATAAATACCCACTCAACAATATGAACTTTTAGAGGAAACAATATGCTTGAGTTGCTCAAAGTTTTCCTGAACCTCCAACTTTAATGACCGTGTTTTAATGCAGTGATATATCAAACCAGGAGTTTAGCCCAGTGACATGGGAAAACATCAACAACCAATGGACAAAAACAAGAAGCAGAAACTAAAACCATTGTTTGAAACCTCACTACCTCTACTTGGCAAGAGGTTGATTGGTGTGCAAGAAATGTATATGCTTTTTCAAAACAAAATAAGATCTGGCACGTCCCAAGTCGGTGGTGTTTGTACGGCCTTCAGGTCTAAACAGTTACGTATGCATAAGCCACCAAGAACTGCGCTTTGAACCCTGTGGTTTAATGATGAAAACCAGAAACATGATTCAAACGAACATTTATAAAGAAGGACAATCAAAAACGTCACCTCAATGTCTAGCATTCTTCTAATAGGATGATTTTCCTCTTTTGCCCTCCTTTTTCAGCTCTCAAGAAGCCCTTCTGAACTTTCTTGTTTGTTATAGCTTTCCCTTGATCGAGAAGCACCAAAACAGTTAAATTTTATTCTCCAACAGCTCTAATTCTTCCTGGTAAAATATCAACCATTCTGAGATGTTTTTCATAGTTGTTCTGCATTATTGACCAATGACGGATTTCAGAAAGCAAGTCAGTAAATACATACTCTGAATAATAAGAACAGAATAAATATCTTCTCGATTTGTAAATGATTTCTATAAAATGATGCCGTTCTACTTATGGCCAAGGTTTTACTGACTTCATGAAACCCCTTTCTTGTAGTAGTTTTGGAAGCAAATCTCCTTTCTATTTTCAAATTATTCAAGTGTGCTAAGAAATGTATGATCTATTTAAGCTATTCGTTTGTGCATCTCATAAATTATCAACTTTAGGTCTCAGATGATGTCTTTTCTACCACTGTTGTGCAGCAGCATTATAGTTCCTTTTAAGTTGAGGTTTATCCTTAGAATGAAATCAATTATTGAATTCAATAATGGAAAAATTAGGGATTAGAATTTTGTCTGAATTAATTGAATGAGTTTTTACAAAGTCAAATTGACTGTAACTCAAAACAGGCAAACACACAAAACAATATTCAAAAGTTTGAAAACAGATGTCCTCCCCTCCTGCCCTGTCCCTTGAAAAACAGACCATTTAGGGAGATAACAAATGGAATCTACAAAAAATATGACACCCCCTACCAGGGGGATGGACAACAGAAAAGTGGATGAAGGGAGACATTGGTCAATATAAGACATGAAAAATAAATTATAAATTATCAAGGGTTTGTGAGGGAGGAAGGGTGAGAGGAGGGGAAAAATAAGGAGTTGATATCAAGGGCTCAAGTAGAAAGCAAGTTTTTGAAAGTGATGAAGGCAACAAATGTACAAATGAGCTTGACACAATGCATGTATGAGTGGATTATGATGAGCTGTATGAGACCCAAATAAAATGATAAAAAAACAAACAGAAGAATCTAGACCAAGGAGATTTTTCCCATGTTACTACCATATTGACATAAATCCAAAAATGCATTTCTATATATCTTCCAGTATTTCTTATCATGATGGTCTCTGAATTCATATTCGTAATAATACTTAAGAATAGTGCTAGTGTCCACGCAAGAATATCGGAAGTGAATTCTGACAAAATTCATCATTCTATCATTATTTTAATTTCTTGTGACAGACTCATATGAAACATGAGTTTTGAAAG